CATGTTCAGAACAGATCCAGTACATTCCTCCACCTTTAGTTTAGAACATCTTAACTCGGAGGTTTTATTTAACAACAATAACATTCTTTGCCAGTGGGGACTTAAAGTCAACGTGGCCAGTTCTTGAGAATTACTGTATTTAAAGAGGCATGTCATATCATTATCTATCCATTAGTTAAAATCAATTTGGCAGGTGATTTAGAGAACACATCAATTAAACAAATGACTTTAAACACAAAGCATTTAGACCTATAAAGTCCAGTGTATAAAAAACAACTCATAACGTTTGCGATTATAAGTTCCAAATAATGTTCAAAGTTCATCATAAACCATGATAACATGCAAATAAAAAGTTCACAAATTCAATCTGTCCGGTGCTTTACGAATTCTGCCTGATCTGCGAAGTTCTACCACTTTCCCTCCAGCTGTCATGGTTTTTGGTTCGATGCCTTTGTTGCAGCTGTTATCTGGCATATTACGAGAATCTGGTTCCCTGAATGGTGTGGTGATTTTTCAACCGGTACGTCGATTGCCATTGGCGTCATTACACAAGACCGTTTACCAACGTCCGCTGTAGTTGGCTCCGTGACACAAGATGGTTTACCAGCATTTTCATCTGGAAAACGTTTGCGAATATGGTTGATGTGCCGACGCCATTCTCGACCATCCTCCATATGTACATTAAAGGAGACAGGACCTAACTTGTGATGAAGTACCCCTGGTAGCCACTTGGGCTTTCCAGCAAAGTTCACAACCCATACAGCATCTCCCTCATAGAATAAGCGCTCGTTAGCTGTTTCTCGTTGTGCTACTGCTTTTGCCTGTTTAGTTAGTACGTCGTTCTCCACACTAGGGTAGACAAGGTCAAGACGAGACCTTGGACGTCTTTTCATAAGCAGTTCTGCAGGTGACTGTCAAGTCGTAGTCTTGACAGTCACGATGTTCGGAATAGGATATCTGTCCACCTTTGCAGCAATGTCGACAGTGAGCTTGTAGTCACCACAGATACGGATATCACCGTTTGATTTCAAAACAGGTACTATTGGTGCGGCCCAATCACTAAACTCCACAGGCATAATCACACCTTCCGAGCGCAATCTGTCTAATTCGTTTTCTACTTTAGAGCGCAATGCGTGCGGCACAGGCCTTGGCATGAAGAAACGAGGTTGCACATCGTTGTCTATCCTTAACTTCGCCGTACAATTCTTTAACGTGCCAAGGTCCTTTTTGAAAAGTTCTGGGAACATTTCTTTGAACCCATTGCCTTCTAGCCTGTGAACTGTTGACCAATTTAATTGGAATCGTTGTAGCCAATCCCTTCCAAGCAGGTTTGGACCTTTACCCGGTACGATCAAAAGTGGAAGATGTTAATTTTGGTTTTCGTGACCTACCTCCACCATCACCTGGCCCAATGGCTGAATGATTTCTCCGGAATAGGTTCGCAGCTTCGGTAACTCTTCAGTCATCAGGGATAGGTTCAATTTCCCTATTTGTATCTGCTTAAATTGTGCTTCGCTAATTAAGCTTGTCGTCGCTCCTGTGTCAATTTCCATCATGACCGTACACATATACAGTTTAACATGACTTCCTATGGTATCTGATTTATATAAAGGCAATTCATACTCATCTGTTGGCATAGTCAGTTCATGTTCTGCTGGTGATTTGGTTTGTACAAAATGTGTTTTAGCTGCTTGTTGCGGAGTTGTAGCCTTGCATACAGATGCAAAATGATTCATGCGCTGACACTTGTTTTCCCCAGGCCGGGCATAATTTATCACGTTTCCCTACACCATGATTACCTCCACAGCCAGAGCACTTGCGATTATCTTGTAACCTCTGATGCTGTGTTTTGCTTGATGATGAATAGCTACCTTGCTTTCCACGCTACCACGCTTTGGTTTACGTGGTTGGTGGTATTTTTGCTGGGGTTTATGCTCAATCCTATGTATAGGTTTCTTAACTTCCACACCTCCAGACATTGCTCTTTCAGAGTTAGCGTTGGTTCGCTCAATCCTTTATTCCTGACTTTGATAAGTTGGCATCGCTGAATAATCTGTGATTTTATCTCTGCATCCTTGTCGTGAAATTCACAGTTCTTTGCCAGCTGGCACAATCTAGCATGGTATTTGTCCAGCACTTCAGTGGGATGTTGTGTTGCTTGTCTGAACATAAATATTTCGTATTCAATGTTCCTCTTTGGAGCAAAATAAGCTGACAGTTTTTCTTTTGTCTGTGCATACGTGTCTTCTGCTAGAGTATGGCTTTCACTTATTTTAAAAACATCGTCGCTGCCCAAGTGAAGCAACATGGCCTGTTTCCTTACATCATCGGTAATTGCCTTAGCGATGAGGAAATTATCAAAATGCTTTAGGCAGCGTTCCCAACGACCAGGTGCCGTTTCTGTAGGTTCAGTTTTGAAAGGTGGAATGGGTGTTTTTTCCATCATTCCATGCAACTCATTAAGGTTCAAAAATAATTTAAAACTCACGTAATGTAAGCTAAGCTTGTCTCCAGCCTACGCTAGCTAGGCTGAGTAATGTTCGTTGCTAAGGGGTTGCTAATGCTGCAATGTCTGTATTTTGCCGTTACACTGGTCGATCTACGCTGATCAAAGAGTTAGCCCGATATGTACAGTACTCGCGTTTCCGCATTAAACGTAGCCCGATTAAATGTAGTTGTGACTAAAGTCGCCTGGCATTTAGTTCTCTGGTTATATCCTGATATCCTCGTCGCCAATTATGTGATGTATTGCCAATAAAGAACCCGAAAACTAATTCTAAGTTGTACTGTACTTTTATTGAATCAACAACTAGTATCGTGAACACATAGCAACAACATCCAAAGTTATCAGATAAAATATGTTCAGAACAGATCCAGTACAGGCACCATGCGGCCATATGATGAAAATGTCATCTATGTACCAGTGGTAGCATAGCGGTTTGAGGTGAAACAATGAGATAAGGGTTTTTTCAAGTTCTGCTATGAATATATTAGCGTAGTTTAGGGGCCATTTTTGTACCCATTGCTGTGCCTTTTGTTTGAAGATAATGAGAACTATTAAAAGTGAAATTGTTGTGTGTTAGAATGAAGTGATGGCTACAATGTCATTGATATTATCTAATGTTAGTGATTGTGCGGTGAAAAATGATTTTAGGGCCACTAGGCCGTCGGAGTGAGGAATGTTAGAATATAAAGAAGATACGTCCATGGTAACAAGGATGGGATTAGCCTACATTGTGAAGTGTTTGTGACGGACAAGTGGTCCATAAAATACAGGGTAGCCTACGATGTTCCATCATGTCCTTATTTAAACACTGTATATGTACCTTTGATGAGTTATATTATATTTATTCAACAGTGTTAACGGCTAACTCCCTTCAATATATAATATACGACAGTATTTCTAGCCGTATTGCCAGATTTATCTGGCCGAACGCCCTCTTGAGGTGTAGCATTGTGTAATACAATGTTCCCGACAGCCATTTGGACCTGTTAAACCATGAAGCCTTCGTGGTCTAATGGTTATGACGCTCACCTATTCAATAATATTTTTATGTTCTCCTTCTTGGAGGTATTTTTTAAATAAATTTTAAAAATTGAAATTGAAAAAATTGAATAAAGTGTGCATAACTACAAGCTCGGCAGCCAGAGGCAAATGTTGTAAATTCCTCCGTGGAGTGAGTGAGAATGTATTACCAAACAATAATAATTAATAAAAGAAAGAACAAAACATACCAAGTGCTTGATCACGATCATAACAGTTCATTGTCCAATTGCTCGAAACTGAAAAATTTAAATATAAAAATTGTTATGCAATAGAGTCATTCCATGCCAAAAAATTTTCAGAAAATGGTTTGGTAACATCTTGAAACTTACATATTAATATTATTATTATTATTATTATTATTATTATTATATAATATACATCGATATGTCTAACAAATCGTTTAGAAGTTACGGCCATTTGAAATTTTTGGGTTTTTTGTAGTATTTTAGAGAACATTGCATCGATGGTTGTAAGTTGTGCAATGTTTTAACATTTTTTGTTTCTTATTTTATCCAATTTGTTCTATCTTGTTGATGTTAAACTTGACTAGATTGTCAGATCCCCACCTTAGGGCTTTGTCTAATCCATGACTTAGAATAGAAGAGGAATGCATTCTCTCACGAGTGATGATGTTTTGAGAAGACTGGTAACTGGCAAACAGGTCGGCCTTGCTGTGGGAGTCACTTGCAAGTGACTCATCTGACTTTTGCAGCGAAGGGAATGAAAAGTGGGAGAAATTACTTGAGCCAGCTTTGGCGATTTGCCAAAATGCATTGGGACTAGCGTTGGAAATTTTGTTGTGTATGTGTGTCACAAATGAAGACTTTGCATCATTGATAACTTTGCCGCAAGCTTTACTGAAAGAGACTCTTGCATCATTGGTTTGGTTGGATTGCCAATATTTGAAGTGTTAGTTTGCTATCTTTTTGTCTGTTTGAATGTATTTCTCATGTCCCGATTGTATGATTTTTTCTTATGACAAAATAGATGAAATGAAATGAAATTAAAAGAAAAATTAACTGAACAGGCTACAAAATCAATCATTGATGCAATAACGCAACAGATAGAATCAAACAACTTGAAGAGAAGATTAATGAAATGGCAAACCAAATGGACAAAGCCGAGCAGTTCTCAAGGCGAAACAGTGATTTATGGAATCAAAGAAATGGATACTGAAAATACATATCAGATTGTTAATCAGCTAAGTTTGTGGATGACACTACTGTTGAAGTCTCGTCCAAGATGACAAACAAAATTACCGCACACAGGTTTTGCAACTTGTCCAATGGTGCGAGTTCAATGGGCTGGAACTAAATTGCAACAAGACCAAAGAAATGATTGTTGATTTTTGTAAACTTTAGCTACTGTTAAATCACCATTATTCATAGATGATTCTACTGTAGAAATAGAAGATAGTTCTATATTTTTAGGAATCGAGGTATGAGAAGATTTGAAATGGCACAATCAATTTCAATATTTTATTTTATTTTATTCCAGTATAAGATTAGCAATCAGCAGCCGATGGCTGAATTTGATTACTTTATATTTAAAAAACCTATAATATATTGCGTTAAAAAGGCACAACGACATATTTTCTTCCTATATAGATTAAGATCTTTAAGAATTTGTTCTCCTGTGATGTGTCTCACTTTTACAAACCAATCAGAGTGTTTTAACCCTCTCAATTACTGTGTGGTATGGCGGCACATCGGAGAAAGGTAAGAAAGATATTCGCAGTGTAGTCAAGACATCTTGAATTATCTGTGTTGACTAATGTTCAGCCAAGATAGACTAGAAAAAAGCATGGGCAAATGTACTGTAATGAACTTTTTGAAAACCAACTTTTTGTAAATTTGTAAATTTGGTCCTAAACAAAAAACCAGTGATAGATCGAGAGCATGTGATCTAATAAACAATCATTATCAGGTAAGTAGCTGAATCGAAATATACCACTTGGTAAATTACAATTCTGAATCTCCATACCTTTATTATTCTCACACAAGAGCTGTAATCCTAAGTTGTTTTTGTTGTTTGTGGTTTTTTTTTTTTTTCTTGTTGTTGGTTGGACATTCACCGTGTATTTATTCATTTATTTATTTTTTCTTTTTTTTAACGTAACTAATTCTTATTTTAGTAACACCTTATTGTAATACCTGCCTTTTGAATACTTTTTAAATTTTTATTATCTTCACTTGGCATTTATGAACCAAAATTCCCTTCAAACTAATGATTTCAATATTCGGCCATTCCGTGGCAAAACAACGCAACTTGAAATTTTCACTTCGAGAAAAATAGAGTTAAAGTTTGCATGTTTGCAACTTGGCAATAAATTGTCGTACCCTTCTGAAATTTTACAGGGCTGTATATTTATAGACATTAAGATTAGGGTGTCCCGAAAGCTCAGACCACAAAAGCTAAGACCTAAGACCAAAAGATATCAGACCCAATCGAAATATCAGACCCCGCAAATGAGGCATGAGGGCCCGTTCCCCCCCCCCCCCCCCCCCCCCCCCACCGTCAGAAAATCACATGAGACCTTGTTTATTTGCACCTTATAAATCGACCCATTATTATTATCATCATTATCATTAATATTTATTATTATTATTATTACTATTATTATTATTATAATTATCGAGAACGAACGAGAATCATAATACAGTATCAGATATTCGCACGATGTGCATTAGAAACCGCTATATCGAAACCGTACGGTTTGTTTGTACTGTATTTGTTTTCTCCAGTAAACGTCGCAAAGGGGCCTAGCTGGTACATGGAGTTATTATTATCAAAATAATTATAACTCCATGGCTGGTATCGATAATACTAACTGGTGTTTATTTCATGATTAGTCAGTTCTATATATTGATGTTAGCTTTCGAATAAACGTATTATTGTCCATCTTACACTGATTAAGATTACTGTAAAACCAGAAACTTTTGCGGCCCAAATCTTTCGTGAATTGATAATTTTGGCCATTTTCGCAACATTTAAATTTTGCGAATCACAAAAGGCCTAAATTTTATCCATGAGAGGAATACCATACAATAGCTGAAAATATTGTATCATGAGTTCTAGGCATAGACTAGATAGGCCTACAGCCACTGTCTAGGCTAGTAGCTAGGCACCATAAGCATGCTACCTCAGCACCTCTTGGACCTAGCTGGCCATCCCAGGCACAGTTAATTATGGCAAAGAGGAAAGACACATGGAGTACTCACTCATATGATTCCTAAATTTTGTATGGTATTAGCATCCTACCATGAACAATGTTAATCAAAACGTGTCTTTTACAGTATTAACAAATTATTTTCCTGTAATATTGTTTCAAACAGTGGTTATGTCATGGTATGTAAATTAGTTTCTTCTTAGCATACACCTTGCAGTGTCTGCACATGTGCAATCACGTTTTGAAAACTCTCACAGAACTGTAATTGACTTGATGTTCACAAGTAGACCTGATAAAATCATGGCTACCGAAATCACAGTTAATCCTGTTCACAGTGTTGTTGTTCAAAGCTTGAAGGCAATCTGCTCAAACACATATAAATGAATAAAATAATGTTTCCGATCCACAAAAAAACAGGATGCAGTAGAAATATAGCACATACATTCACAGTTATTCCTATGGGTGTGGAAAATACGTCCTCCAAAAACCAGAAGAAACGAAGAAATGTTTCTGTGTTATGCAAATTAGCGCTAACAGCTGCTGTTAACGATGCATGAAATAAAGTCACCACAGGAGCTCTCCCCAAGATCGATGGAGCAATCCAACGAGTGATAAAATGTTTATGTTCTTCTTAAAAAAACAATACTACTTCTTCTGCAATCATAAGCAACAAACTTCTTTGGCAAATGAACATGTCGCGTTCGAGTGATGTCGCAACTGCGGTGTTACTGGCAACTTTTGGTGGTTTGTTATTACCATCCAACGTGGTCGACGTGTGTTTAACACCGACTTCGGGTACAATACAACTATCAACGTCTGCATCGAGGTAAGCAACTTTAATTCGATCAAGACTAACTGTGTCCTCTTTTACAGCAACATGAACATAATACTTGTCAGTTCTGCGCAATACCTTGAAAGGCCCTGTATAAGGGGACTCAAGGGGTTTTCGTACTCTATCAGAAAGAACAAATACATGGTGTACAATGTGCTACATCTTTATGAAGTTGAGATTTTCGTTCCACTGAGCGGGTAGGTAATGGTCGAATACTCTGCATTACCCGTTTTATTCTATGTACATAATCACATGGATCAAGCTCAACATCATAAACGGGTGAAACAAATTGTCCCGGAAGTCGAAGAGTTGTTCCAAAAACAAGCTTCCGCCGTCGAACATCCAAATTCCCTTTTGACCACAGTACGCAGGCCAAGGAGCACTGAAGGTAAAGTTTCAGTCCACTGCTGAGGATCATTTTGGAGCCTTCAAAGAAACTTTCAATTGACGATGAAACCTTTTTACCATACCATTGGTTAGGATGATGAAGTTGTACGAACACGCTTAGTGCCTAGCAACTTAACTAACAAATCAAACAATGCAGACTCAAACTGGCGACCACGATCAGTAGTAATCATTGAAGGTGCACCGAACATCGATATCCAACCTCCTACAAAAGCCTTGGCAACTGTTTCTGCAGTGATGTTAGGAATTGGAATGGCTTCTGGCCATCTGGTAAAGCGATCAATGCAGGTAAGTAGATAAGTATTACCATCTGCTGGTGGAAGTGGCCCAACCAAGTCAATGTGTACATGATCAAACCTGATATCTGAAGTTGCAAAAGTACCCAACGGTGTTACTGTGCGACGATAAACTTTGGTCTTCTGACATCTCACACAACATTTGGCCCAGGCACGAACATCGCTATTCATTCCAGGCCACACATAACAAGCACTAATTAATTTGAGAGACGAACGAATACCTGGACGAGAAAGTGAATGTAATGATTCAAAAACCGCCTTGCGCATACCCATTGGATCAAAAGGTCAAGAAATACCAGTGGTAACATCGCATGTAATAGTGTTATTGCTTGTAGATATTGGAACGTCTTTCAAATTAAGAACTGATTGTTGCCGATGCTTAAGTAGTTCAGGATCAGTCAACTGTTGCTCAGCCCTGACGTCATGATCAATTGGCGACGACACAATGGATGTAGATAATGAGTTTAAATCAATACGCGGTAAAGTGTCAGCTACCTCATTGTCAGAGCCACTAACATGCCATGTCTGTGGTAAATTGCGACATTAATCAAGATGTCGTATCTCACGAGAATAGCGATCTGAACTTGAACGCAAAGATAGGTAAGAGGCTTATGGTCAGTGAGGATGAAGAAACCTCTAGCTTCTAGAATATGTCGATACCAGATACGTAGCTAATAATTCACGACCAAAGGTACTGTACCTGGATTCAGTAGGATTCATTCGTCTAGAAAAGAATGCAATTGGACGCCACATATCCGCAAAACGTTAAAAGGACTGTGCTGTATTTTTTAAACCAAACGGCATTCTCAAAAACTTGAACATGCCAAAAGGTGTAGTGATAGCTGTTTTCGGAATGTCTTCTTCAGTGTTTGAGAGTAAGAATGGCGATATAAATGAAACTGTGGAAGCTATCTGTAGCTACATTAAGTTTTGTACTGACTCTATTATCCCAAAGAGAACCAAAAAAATTTATCCTAACAACAAGAAATGGTTCTCGAAAGAACTACAGGCATTGATGAAGGGAAAAAAAAGCTGCTTTTTCAATGGGACAGGTAGACATAGTCAGAGAAAAACAAAAACAGATCGAGTCAGAAATTGAAAGAAATAAAACGAAATATAAAGAAAAGCTAGAGCAAAACTTTAAGAATGATTTCAAATCAGCATGGAAAACAATGCAGGACATCACTGCCTACGTCAGTAAAAACAAAAATATGCCATGTAATCAGACAGTACATCAACAAGACAAACTTAATGACCTTAATGATTTCTTCTGCCGTTTTGATCAACATGATTTTTCAAAAGAAATATGTGGTCTAAAAAAACTATTGACCTCAGAAAAGGAATTTTGTGACGACATTAATTTAAAGGAAGTTAATGTGAAAATAACTTTTAGGAAAGTAAAAGCTACAGGACCGGATCTTGTCAATAACCGGGTTCTCAGGACATGCTGTGATCAACTTTCATCCATATTCTGTAATGTGTTTACTAAATGTCTAGAACTTGGAAGAATTCCAAAGATTTGGAAAACATCAGAAGTCAGACCGATCCCGAAAATTAAAAACCCTGCAATACAAAATGATCATCGACCAGTCGCTATTACCTCTAATGTAATGAAGTGTTTTGAGAGAATTATTTTGAAAATACTTAAGGATATGGTCCATTTTGATCCTACACAGTTTGCCTATCGACCCAAAAGAGGAATTGATGATGCCATCTTATTATTCCTTCATAATATCCTGCAACACATCGACGCCAAAAACACTTTTGTAAGGGCACCTTTCTCCGTTCCTATTTTCACTTTTTACTTCAGATTACAAAACTTTGGGTAATGCAACTTCAATAATCAAATACGCGGATGACACAGTAATTTCAGGATACCTAAATGGATCTGATGTATCACCATATGTCCAAGAGGTAAACAGATTTGTGGACTGGGGTGAACAAAATTATCTTCAGCTTAACATGAGTAAAGAATTTTTTTTTGACAAAAGGAGGAAAATCTGTAGCCATACTAAGCTTACTATTAAAGGAGAACAAATAGAACAATTCTCATGACGTTTTATAGATGTGTTATTCAGAGTGTGCTTACTGTAAATCTCATTACATTATTTGCGGGGCTGTCATGTAAAAATAAAAAACAATTAGAGAAAATTAGGAAACGTGCTAGCAAAATTATTTGTGCTGACCTACCAACTATTGATGATATCTATGAAGAAACGGTTTTAAAAAAAAATTAAACTGATCATTGACGACCCTACACACCCACTAAATGAGTTCTATGTTTTTAATAGATCAGGAATTAGACTGCGCCCACCTAAAGGAAATTCCGATCGTTTTTGAAAATCTTTTGTGCTAAATTCTTGCCACCTATACAACTCGCTTGTTAAAAGATAAATCTTAACTGAGTTTGTTGATCTGTATTTTTTTGTAACGACTGTAAAAATTGCTATTTTAAACTTAAATAATGTACGCTTTTAGGTAATATATTTGCTGCGAAGCAGCCAATTCATATTCTTGACAGCAATTTGACCTCTGAAAGGTCATTGTTTGTCAAAAAATGAGTGCCTAAGACGACTGAAAAGCGGAGTTTCCTTCTTTCGTTCTACCGGGTAAAATCAATTACTTTAGGCGACGTTTGTAGACTAACCTACTTGTACCAACGTCCGCATGTCGCGCTAGCCTTATCCTACTCTAGGCCTAGACTAGCTAGGATGGTATAGGCCCAGCCTTGAAGGGACGAAGGTCCCAATGAAAAACAACGTCGTTCTTTGATAGCTAACATTGTCTATTTAACATCACAATAATTCATTATTAGACCTATAGTTGTTTTTTGAATTGCTCCACAAATCTCAGCCGATACCTCGCACAACTGGCTAACGTCTATCTATTGCCGTGACGTCATGGCTCGCTGGCTCACACTTGTGATATGTCTCGCACTTGTGATCAAATAACACGCTGGCTCGCACTTTGGCAACACTCTTTAGCAGTCAACTCGCCCCTAGAAAACCCGCCCTTGGAAACTTGCCCCATAAAACAATGTACAGTACACTTCCTAGACCATGCAGTCTTCAAAATAAAAATTGTAACCTTTGGTAATCAACTACATTTTCTACATACATAGACATTTTTTAAACTTTATTAAAAAAAACCTAAACCATAATTCACCACACTATAGACACTTTATGACAAAAATGAAAAATTACGACTTTGTTACCCAATGAGAAGTGTTCTAATATAGACAATGGGTCGTGTCTCATATTATTTGTTATAGTTTTATTATTCAATATTTTCACTTGACTCGCATAAATAATTTTGTTCGAAGAACATTTATATGCAGTTGTACTTCGCAGCACTTCACTTGCAATTTGCAATTTCTAGTTTAATCTTTAATTAATTCTACTTGTTTTTGTAAAACTTGATTTGTTTTTGACTTTTGTGATTTTGTAATTTTGAGCTTGTCAACAAAAAAAAATTCCTTTTTTTGGACTAATAAAGTTTCTGTATTCTGTATTTTGTATTCAGGATCAACAGGTATCTGATGATAGGCTCTAACTAAATCTTTCTTTGAAAACACCTTTTTCCCATGAAGTGTAGCCGTGAAGTCATGAATGTGGGGAATTGGATACATATCGGGAATAGTAACATTATTCAAAGCACGGTAGTCCCCACAGGGCCTCCAATCCCTGGACATTCCTTTAGGAACCACGTACAATGGTGATGACCAGCAGCTATCTGATGGACGAATTATTCCCAATTGTAACTTTAACTTTTCAGGATGAAGTCACCGAGGCCTGACTGAAACTGGTGGACCTCTGGTATTAATTTGGTACGTCACACTATGCTTAACAATAACATCCTTAAAACATGGACGGATCATAGACGGGTACGGATCAATAATCGACTGGTAACGAACATCCACTTTTGGACGAGGAAAAACTGGACAAAGTGATGCCAAATTACATTTGGTACCCCGACACTCAGGCTGGTCACAGTATCCAACAACTTCCGATGTTTTACATCAACCATAAAACCAAAGTTCTGTAAAAAATCAGCCCCCACTATTGCAACAGGCACATCAGCAACCGTAAAAATCCACCTACATGTGCGTCTAAGCCCAAAGCCAACTGTTATGGAACGCTCTCCATACATGGAAATCTTGGAATTGCTTGCAAGACAAAATGAGGCATGTTGTGGCGAAATGGTTAAGTTGTCGCACAGTTCATTATTGAGTAAATGAGCTATAAAAGTTGGGAGCTAAAAAAATTGCCTAAAAATCCAAATTTGTTTTTCACTATAGATCAACAACTGATCTCCCAAAGTATTAGTTCTGGAAGTGGTCAACAAATTGTTTATTTAACGTTATTTTGATAGTTCATTCTATTAAACAATGTATGCACAAATAACTTCAAAAGGCAATTACTCAAAATCATGTTTATTTTTACACTACGAGTACTGTACATTCACTTTCCAATAACTTAGGCTTGAAATGTCCAATTTGAATAAATGACCCCTCATTTTAAAGATCACATACTAAGGTATCTAAAAATACTAATAACTTGAATTTCAATTTTTGCTACAACTTAGCCATTTTGCCACGACATGCCTCAAATCTGATTTACGAAATAGCCTGTCCTGAATTGTTGCTGGCACCACACTCACTTTAGCCCCAGTATCAACCAAAAATTGAACTCCTGAAGTACGATCATAAATGAAAAATAAACGGCTACTTTCATGCCCACCAGACGAATGCGCCGTGTCTATCCGCTGGTTTGGTCATTTTTCTGTCTTCTGTTCAGAAAATGAGCAAGGAAATTTACATTTATGAGCATTGTTACCGTAACAAGCACAATACCAACACAATCCATCAGTATCTGAAGGATTTGTTGAAGGTGACCATGTCCGTTGTCGTGGTCTGCTACCACTTCTGCTTTTAACAACAAGTTTGGTTAAGGAAGCAACAAGACTGGTCAACTTATGAACTTCTGCTTTCAACTGAAGCAACTCAGACCAATCAACAGATTCACTCGGCATATCTTTGGACGTTGTTGCTGCAATTGTCGGAGGAGACAGCGATACTTCCATAATTCTATCTGCTAATGCTGCAAAATCTGAAATATTCATATCATCACGTGTAGAGGCACATATATAGCACACACATTCACAGTTTTTCC